TGCAACAAGGAACCAGTCCAGTAGCTCACAAGAGCACTGCGATATGACAGTACACTTCGACCTGATGTGGAGACAGGGGTCACAAAGGAGTTGCCAACTGGAAGCTGCCTCCACGAGCTGCTCTTCGGCATATTATCGTATCTATGGATGAACTGCATCAATACGTGGTGCAAAATGAAGGAGCATGGGCCCCATTTTGCTTGGCAAGTGGCTGATGATAACGTCAATGTTTTCTGGAATCAACTTGCTGCCAAGAGCTCAGCCCGTGATGCTCCCAGCCGCACTTAAGTCACACATTTTACAGTCCACTAGGAAAGTTTGTGCAAATTCCATGGAAAATCAATTCAATCAAACAGTGAGATTCCTCATGTGAGTTGCAGATTTTGCCCGAGGCGCTTGTTGGAGTCCACAATCCTGAGTTCTAAATCCCAAAATCAATGTGGTATAAGCAGATGCATCGCAGGACCCATGTTGTACAAGAATTCGGGTAAGCAACAAACGCCACAGCAACGTCAGTGAATGTTGGGAACGTCGGATTGCAGCTACCCTCAATACTATATTTTGTCCCTACAACAGATTTTGGAGAGCTGTGGGACCTCCAAAGACACAAGCGTACTCCTCAGCCCAGCCAGGCAAGTACCCCTTCCCTCCCCAACAAATTTTGAACAACTGTGCACCGTCATAACCGATAGCCGTCACCCCAACGGCAAACAAATACTGACAGGCCCGCAGCAGTCCACACATCTTCGCTCACCCCTAATACTCTGAACCACATGGCGTAAATTGTGCGGGCATCCGCACTGTCCGCTGGCCGTGTTGACGTCCTCATAGTCTGCTGCACCCCCCTTGAAAGCCATTACTGCGGACACGTAACGCAAAGCAATTCAACGGCAACAGCCAGCAACAAGCCACTAAGGCTAATGCAGGTCCCCCGTGCAAACAACACACGCAATCCTCTCTGCCGCACCCGGCACTGGCGCACCTCTGAACCAGCCGGAGCCGCTGTCCCTCCAAACCCACTACCTCGCTAGTACGCGGTTGTCACCAAGCAAAGGCGAACAAGCCAAATGCGTCCGACCTAACCGCAACCAAATGAACTCGACGGGCCTTCAAACGGCACGCCGTGGGGACCAAGCTGCACATCCTCCCCCGAGAACCCAGTCAATAATATCCATCCCTTGAGCACTTTGTCCCCGTCTCGCTCTCCAAATGAGCCCCCTCTTGACTGCCGCAGCATGCAAGTGTGTGTTTCTCACCGCCATGAATCACAGACACCCATGGCCCGGCCACTGGGGTCACACCCTCAGCCAGGACGTCCTGAGCCTTGCAATCTCCTGGCCCTTGTCTATCCCGTCCGCCTTTCTGAGGACGTGAACAAAGACGGGCGCCTTCGAGGATCCGTTTTCCTGGATGTCCGCCCGGTAGAGCACAGTCTCCACTCGGTCGCCCACGCTGCACTCGCCCAGGAAGTCTACTTCCGTCTGTCAAGCACAAATTGCTCAGAACACAAGTTGCCCAACTTCGCAGTAACCGCACAGTCCTTGCCCCCAACAAGAGACCTTTCGCATTTGGGACTCAGGTGTTGGCTAACTAGATCTCCTGGATTTCAGCAAAACAGCTGGATTTCAGAACAAAATAGCGCAAAACCAGTTGGGTGCATACAGCCCGCCCGGCAGCCCCGATAGAAGCACGCTGCTTTTCACCCCAGGGTGTTTATGGACCCATACCATCCTTGTGTTTGTTCTCAATTGCTCATTCACAATCCCTCATTGAGACAGCACTGCGTTAGATTCTGGAAGCAGCCGCACTGAATTCTTGTAACAGGAGCTGTTTGGTCAATTCTCAGCCTACAGGACTCACATTCGAGGCTGTCATTAGGATTACAAGTGTGGGTCACAATTCTGCTGCAGTTCAGAGTGTGCAGCAGACAATCCAAAGAACCTGTTTCCAGATGTGCCCTGCGACCTGGTCACGACACAGTGCATCTGCCTCTCGTTGTGTGTGTACCATGGTGAAGAAGCTGGCGAATGTGCCAGTGAGAGATAGCCATCAAAGGAGCAGACAGTGGACGCATGGTTCCTTATGTGGCTGAGCAATGGCATAGTATTCGGGGGCTGACATGCCAGACCATTGGGATTTCACCATCATCACCATCACCACATTCATATTCGTGGAAAGAACAAACAATTATCACACACCGCTGTGGTCAGCCATCGCCTGAAAGGCACGAGGGCTTGCATTGTCACTTACATGGCACCCTGGAAACAAAAGAACTGCAGCATGTACTGCGACGTGTTGCATGAGCACATCTTGGGCTAAAACATGCCCCCAGCGCCTCCAGGATGCGCTTTTCTTGCATTCCTTCAATGGGGAGGTCTAAAGAAACGGAGAAGTTGACTCCCCAGTCGACCAACCAGCATTGCAACATTTCCTTTCTCACGCTCTCGTTCCATTTGTGGTATTCAGCATGCATGGAAGCAGATCAACGTTTGGAATACTTCCTGAGTGCACCTTGTGCCTATGCACGATTGGAAGGTGCAAGGCCGCCTGTCTTGTGTGGACACCTGTAACAAATGGGGTTCACCCAGCGAGCCACGCTCACCTCCTTCAAGACGTAGTTCTGAAAGACTTCTTGTGGCAGAGCATCCAGGGCCCACTCCAAGTAGGCAACGTTGTTGATGTGACCGTTCATGTCCATGTAGCTGTGCCCAGCAACATGTATCACACCGCTCCGCACCTGTCCAAGGCAGCGCAAGTCTGATTATTTCTCACTTAGCAACTATTCATACTCACTGACAACTGACAACCGCTTGAGACCTCTCCTGTTGGGCGACGTCAGTGTCCAGAGTGGTAGTGCACCAGCACAGTGCTGAATCCATGTGATCATGGTAATTACTGGATACTATTGTCACCATTTGTTACATATCATACAAGTTTCACAGGAACCACTGAGTGCACATTTCATTGCCCTTCAGCATTGCTTCTCTTGAGCCTCTTTCCCATGCTTTGGGGGATTCTACACGACGTTCTGCAATACATCTACAGTGTACTGTAGTACATCTTCCTCAGCATTAGGCTTCTGGTTCAGGAGGCAGGTGCCTTCTGTGTGGCGCATTCTGCTGCAATGCTGCTATGATGCACCACAATTGCTTCCAGTAATGCATCACACCGACAACAAAGCACGCAACTCTACATGCGTCCTTGCAGTCTGTCGTGGGTTGGCACAGGACCCGTACTACCGTATTTACCCGGTATTAGTAGGCGTGTATTGGACCCCAAAATTGAGCGGTGGATACTAATAGTGGGTCATGGGTACTAACATGGTTTAGACCCCCTAATCCAAGGAGTAGACAAAGAAAAATTTTGCAAAATAGGCGGTGAAATGCCCAAAAACAGGCTTGAAAAAATGCAAGATGCGATACAGCAACAGCCACATCACCAAGTCAAAATTACGAAATCCCAACCATAAACGCAGAAACGCGTTCACAATCTATCGCTGTCCACATCCAGATCTGATGCAAAGCCATCCAAATGCATCATCATATCATCATCATCATCATCATCACAAATCATCAGCTGCTTAAGCTGTGAAGTTTGCAGCCATCAAGTGCATGGCACTATAGGATGAGCTGTTTGCAGCGACTGTTGCACGTCGAAGGCATGCAACAAGAGTGCTGCGCAAGCAAAGACGTGAAAAATAGCTTCTTCTCCCCAAGGCGAGTCCAACGAGCCCTCTTGTACTCGTTTCTGTTGAGGTTTGGGGGTGGATACTAACACCGGGTCATGGATACTAACGTGGTTTCGACCCCCAAAGATGGGGGTGGATACTAAAAGGGGGTGCCTACTAATACTGTGTCAATACGGTAAGGGTTCTTCTTAGCACAAAGGCAGCGTCTGGAATCCTGAGTGTGGTGCAGTACAAAGAACTAGCAAGGGCTCAGGCTGTCCAGCTAATCTCAACAAATTTGCCATACGTCTACAGGAAGCAGGCTAGATGCTGGCAACTGAAAAGAATAAAAAAACGGCCAACCCCACAACAGCAATGCAAGACAGAATGTGAATTCAAAAGCACGCCCCATAGTGCTGCACCTGTGCCATTGTCTCAGGGTCTTGAATTTTCTTCTTCACATCCGCCGCACCAGACATCGAGTACATGGAGCTGCACAGTATCATAGGTGTCAACACAGCAGAACTGGTTTCAACAAAATTTGTGCTGACAGTGGCAAGCAAACGAACTGACATACTGACCACATAACGCTCCAACATCTGAGGCCATGGCACCCAACGATCTGAGAAGTACAGCAAGCCTCACATGAACCTTAGAGCAGAGCTCCTACATACTGGTGCAGCACCCTTTCTCTGAAAATGGGTGCATGACAATTGGGAACTACTTTCCTTGACATTAGTACTATTTTTGCATTTCCTTGACATCAGTACTATTGTTGCACTGGAGCAAAACCCAGGGAGGAATGACCTCGTGCCTTTCAGTTGGGCTCCAATGGAGTTCAGGTTGTCTGGGTGGATATGAACGCACAGTGTGAGATGAAGACACATTGTACCGACATCGCCTGCAATTTGCAAGGACAGTGTTTTTGCATGTCCATGCTTAGAAAAGCAATCACAAGTTTCGATCGAAATGAGGCAGACGAAGTGCTCAACACTATGGCGCAGTGCCTGCTCGTCTACAGTCAAATCCAAGGCCCGATTGACGACTGTGACATGTATGTCAAGTCAAGTGAAATAATCTTGGGCAGTGTTTACACATCCAAAATACTAGGTACCGAGTCGTTCTCCAGCTTTGGCGAAACAAGTGTTCTAAAGTTCACAGCTCTATTTGGCTGCTACCCAGAGCAGGACAGTGAGCTGAAAATTGATGGAAACCACTGCCAACCGTCAAATGCAGGGGTGGACCATGCATCAGTACAGCCCCACTCTTCAATACTGTAGATACCTGCTGCATCCCTGAAGGTCAGACCTGGTTTTCACAATCGCACTGATCCCTTCAGACTGTCATAACCCATTAATGGACACTAACAGGACAGGCAATGGACTAGCCACAATGTGATGATGAAAAGAAGACACATGTCAACATAAGATGACCCAGATGGTAAACATGACTACTATCGCAGGAAGGTGGGTCCCAAGAGGAAGCCATCCTCAGCAGAACACAGTTAGCAACAGACGTGCCAACACAGCAATGTTGCCTATCGGCCAGGCGATGTGTCCATAGGTATCAACAATACTTATGATAGTCTAGGTAATGGATTTTGCAGAGCCAGGAGTGTTAGGGCCAGTACCCACCTGTCCTGCAGAGTGTAGGGCCACCATTGCTCTATCATCTCTGTTGGCATCCGCGACATTTTTCGTGTTTTGGTGTTGATAACCACCCACCAACTGGACACAGAGAAAGCAACCAGCGATGCAGTTAGCAACCAAAAGGACCGTGACCATTTTCAAAATGAAATGAGCCCCCAAGTTCAGCACAAGACATCGGTCAACAGCTGTTGCGAAGGTGCACAGCACAGTGGCAACAAACAAACAGCCTGATGGTTATGCAATCCATTGCGGCGATTCAAACAGCTTTGCTTGGCAGGTTTTTGCCCAGCAGTCAACAATAGAGAGGAATGACAGGCAATGGTGAAAAGCAACTTTAGCTACGGCAATATGGCGCTTTTCAGGCAAACATCTGACTAATGGACGCCACCTATCATCAGCACATGAGCGCATAAGCATAGCACAGAAAAGCACACCATCTGGACCAGGCGACTTGCTGTGGAGGCGGTCGGACAAATCACTTTCTGGGATACTTTCAGGATGTGTACATGTACAGTCGCACATGTACCCACAAATACACGCTTTTGCACATAGCATGAAACCTGTAGTTAGGTTGTGGCTCATCACTATGCACACTGATATCTCGCCATCCACAGCTTGTTTAAATTCCAGAAGCTCATGCCATTCCTTCGAGTCAGGAATCCCTTCCTTGCCCACAGGTGTCTTCTGACAGAACCTGCACCTCCATTTGAGGCCCTGCGTTCAGAACCCTGTGTTCCTTCCTCCACCAGAAATTGTCCACAACTTAGCATTACTGGCTTCAAGACATGAGTGTTCATCGAACCTCCCAGTCACCTTGTAGCCTCTCCAAGAGTTTCGGATGTTGCTGCATCCTGGATGCTCCAAGCACGGCGGCCAATGAACCTCCTCTCCAACGTGAACCAAGTCTCCAGTCGTGCAGTTTCGCCCCTGCGCATGGCACAAGCAGTGACCATCAGCAATAACAAACAATCCTGGAGTCTGTTCGACAGGAATTGTGCAGGGGGATGGCTGTGCCTAGGATTCATCGATGAATGGCAGTTCAGCATGGCAGGTGTTGATGGGACATGCACTGCAGAGCAAGGACAAGCTGAGCTGTAACATTTTACTGCCCAATCAAGACTGGCACATCGCCACGGTTGGTGTCCAGTTGCTGGCAAGGACAACCTCTCACCAGCTGCTCAACACTGTTCCTTTCATTTTGAATTGTTCACAGATCTCATAGGCTCAAGTCACAAGCTATTCAAACTGTTGTGCACAGAAAATCCAGCATTTCAATGAAGCAAATGAATTCTCTTGGCAATTTGTCATCGAAAAGCCATTTTGTCAGCCTATGGCCATGTACTTTGCAGGCATGTTAGGTGGGGATGGCAAAACATGCACACTGTGTGCTGATGAAGGATTGAATCAATTGAGCATCAATGTGGTGTTTCTACCTGGTGGGTAGATCTGTGCCTTGTGAGATATTGAGCACTGAGCAGCCTATGGCACAATGGCCACTACGGACACAAAGCGCCAGTGACATTCAAGAATTAGTTCACTCAGCGCAACAGCAGCAATACTGTCTCTGAATATCTTCAGCTGTTCTGAGATCTTGTCAAGAGCCTTGCCTGATCTTTGCCTGTGGCAACGAGGTTGTGAGTGAAGGAGGTTGAAGAGAAGCATGGATGCATGTAGCAAATGACACTGGACAGACAAAGAGAAACCTTCACATCCCTTGTGAGCCAAGCGCTGTGCCTACCATGAAGGGTACTTGTTTATCTTGATGTGAAGCCTGGATATGACAAAGATGAGGTTCTTCTCGACCATAACAGGGCTGGCAGCAAAACCCTCATCTGTCTTTCCCCACACAGATATTGCATGATTGCTGGCCACTTCCTGTCGCAAGTGGACAGCACAGGGACACCGTCATTGGCAGCAACAAAACAGTGTTGTGAGAACTGTGGCAGTTTGCACCACCACATCCTATCAGGGGCACCCGCGCTCGCGCTGCAAGACAGGCCACCAAGTGAAATTCCTAGATCCGATGAAAGGGATGCAAGCAAACTGTGCGGACCCCTGTCGCCCAGATCCGCACTGCTGCCAGTGTGTGCCACCGCTTGCTCGAAGGCCTTGGGACAGCCAGGAAGCGTCCATTGACAGCCCGCAAGCATGACGATCGGAATCGAAAAATGCGGTGCGAACTATCCGCCTCTTTCGTCGCCGCCTGCCTGCTCCGCTTCCCATCAGCTCGCGGACGCACGACGCAGAACGCCTCGCCTGTCCCGTTCGGTCCCTTAGGCCTGGAGATCTGCGATTTTCGCACACCCCAAACGGCACGCGGCGTTCCAGAAAGGGGGGCTGGCTCCACGCCAAGAAGAACAAAAGCAGTCCCGAGCCCACTACACACGAGAACCGCAGCGCAGCGCAGCGCAGAGCGCAGCCTGCCGCTGGGGATCTACCGGCCTGTTGCGCCCGTCACAGCGCGGCTCTCGCGGGCACGTCTGCGCGAATCGATGCCGCTCTGCGGCCAACCCAGGATTCGCGGCCACCGCTCTCCCTTCCGCCTCCGCCCTCCCGCCCTTCCTCGTTCCTCCTCCGCTCTCCCAGCCACCCAATGCGCCCCACTTCCGCCGACGGCCAAACACCCTTCGCGCCGCGCCGCCAACCGCCACGCCACGCCGTCATTCGATCCCCTACCCCGGATATACGCCCCCCCCCAGCGGCGACACGCCAGACCACCCCTCCTACCCAGGCCGCCGTGCACAGCCCCTCTGCAGCTCCACACCCGCTATTCCCCCTCATGGTAGATCGCTCGCCCGGACTCCACCGATCAAATCCTCGCATCAGCGCACTGCAATGCCCCGAGGCCTGCACCCACGCCAGCCAAATCCAGCGATCCCCCCTCAAATGAACGTCCCCCATTCCCTGTCTTCGTCCGCGTGTTCAGGCCCGCCGTCCTTCCCACCTGCAGCAGATTCGCGATGCACTGAATGGTTGCCCGCCTGTCCGGCCCCGCCTCGTAGCCCCGTATCCGCGCTGTCTCAACGAAGCACCTCCTGTCCCCGGACAGCTGCGCCGCGGGCAGCGCCGGGAACTGCACCTGCGGGCTGCCATCCACCGCCGGGACCCCGCCTCCCGACTCCGGCGCCTCCCCCCGCCCGCCCTCCCCCTCGCGCCTGGCAGCACAGACGCCCCCATGCCGGCACTGATCGCGATCCCGGGCCAAAAACAGGCCATGCGGTTTCAATCGCATGCCGCAGGCCCCCCTGGGCGCCGGTCCAGGCGGCCTGAGCAGCATGCCGCAAATCCTCCCGCGCGAATTGCAGCCGAATTGGCGCAGATGATGGACAAAGGGACGCGCAGGCAGGGAGGTGGGGTGCCTGTAGCCCCAGCGGGCTGGCTCGGGAGGCTGGGTGTGCTTCGCCGGCGTCGAGGGGGGCGGGGTGGGACGTCTGAGACAGGTGGCTGATGGGCGGCGGTGGGCGAATCGACCTGAACGGGGTCGCGCTGGCGATTTGACCCGCACGGTCGGTTCGAGTCGCGTCATATACGCGGCCAGGTGTTGACACGTCCGGGGCACCTTGCGGCGCGTCAGTGGCGCCCTCGGGCCCCGCTCGAGCCCGCCTGGGCTGCGTACATTAGGCCGTTGCGGTTCAGAGCGTCCCAATCCATGGGCATAAGGCGTGCCGCAACTGCCGCAGAATTCGAGTGAGAGGGCTATCCGGGGGGGGGCTTGTGGTTAGAAACGTCCCCGTGCAAACGCATGAGGCGCGTTGCGGCCGCCGCAGAATGGGAGTGAGGGGGTTGTCGCGGGCGGTTTGTGGTGGGGAGGGGCGTGGGGTTGGGTAGCTGAATGCCTGCCATTCGGGACGGAGGCAGCTTCCGCCGGGGTCACGCCGCCTCGCGCCGCGCCCCCCCTCTGTGGCACCTTGAAGCTGCTGAGGCCGGGCGAGGAAGCCCAGCAACCGGGTTCCGGTCCCGGGATGTGTGACTTGCTGGCGACCGTAAGCCGCGGGGGTGGCCTCAAAGTGCTAAAGGCGCGGGCGCGCTTGCCACAATCCGAATGCCCGATGGGCATTCGGCTCCGCCCGTCGACCCCACGTCCCACACCCAGCCCCGACACGGTGTTGCAGCTGGCCGCCGGAAGCGCATCCATGCCCACGTGCGGTTACCGCATGCGGATGGATTCGCCGCCGCGGCCGGGGACCTGGGGCACTCTATGGGTTGGGGAAATGCGCAGGCTGAGATGGTGCATAGTGCATCGAACGTGGACAGTGGTGCCGTAAATGGGAAGCTTGACGGGGGGCGACCGTCGCCGCATGTCGCGCTTGTTGGTCAATGGTTGTTTCCAGTTGTGTGCTTTGGGTGGTGTTGAACATTCTGAAAACATTCATTGACTTCAAGTGTTCTTCTGTGCTACTGCTTGCTGACGCTGCAAATACTCTGAAAGGAGAACACTGCAATGAATAAGGTTGGACTCAGGCTCCCACGTAGCCTCATGTAGTTGGCAGTTCTTCCAGGCCATAAAGTAGCGCTTCCTCGCTCCTGTACCCTTGTGCCTGATGATAGCCTCAACCTCGTACTCAAGGTGCCCCTCTATCTCCAGTGGAGGGGGTGAATCGACATTCCGCTGAAACTCTGAACTCCTCTCAAAAAGTTTTAGCTTCTCTATATGGAATGTACGATGCACGCGCTATGTGGCTGGCAAATCAACAATGCATGCCACCGGATTGATCACCTTCACTATTTTGAATGGCCCTACAAATCGACGTCGAATCTTGGGTGGAATCTGAGCGAAAGCCTGCTTGGGCAAAAAGGACGTCCTGATGACTACTTCATCACCCACTCTGAATTGTACATCCCTCCTTCGTTTGTTGATTGTCTTGATCATCTGATCCTGAGCATGCTTGTAACTGATATTAGCATCACTGAGAGTTGTATGCATCTACTTCAACATAGTCTCAGCTCACTCAATGTTCGTTGCCTGCTAATGTGAGGTAAACAAACTCACAGGTACCTCAGGGTTTCAACCGTACAAAAGGTAGAATGGACTGTATCCTATTGCAAGGTTCATGCTGTTGTTTGTAGCAAATTCTGCTAATGGAAGCTGATCAGCCCAATGCTCTGGATGTGCCTCAATATACGGACAAAGAAAATCCTCCATTGTTTGTATTGAAACTCCGCTTTATCCATCAGTTTATGGATGAAATGCAATGAGCATATTGAGGCGCGTCTCAAGCAAATGAAACAGCTCCTGCCAGAATTTGCTCAAGAATCTTGGGTCACGATCAAAGATAATAATTCTTGGCACTCCAAACTACCTAAAGATGTGCTGCAAAAACAATTCAACATAACTTTTGGTTGTCAATTCCTTCTGGCACGGAATAAATTTCACAAACTTGGTTAGACTGTCGACAGACATAGCCACTGCAGTGTAGCACTTGGACTCAGGTGAATCTGTCACAAGATCGGTAGTCAACTGTTCAAATTTCTGTATAGGCAGAGGGATTACTTGACGCAAGCCTTTCTTGGCCCTATTCTCTGATTTCATTACTAGACACACAGGGCAAGTTCTCACATAATGGGTGATATCCTGCCTCATAACTCTTCACCAAAAATTTCTCTGAATCAGCTCTCGTGTTCACTCTATCCCACAATGTCCAGCAATTTTGGCATCGTGGTGCTCTGCCATAACACGTTGCCTCCCTCTGGCTGGAACTACAAGTCAACGCGATTGCTGGGCAGGCTCAAAGTATAAGAGACCAGCTGGATCCACAATGAAATCACGCATTATCTTTCCGTCCTGCAATAGCTTTAATTTTGCTTGCGCAAAAAACATCATCGTGCAGGGCTTGAATCCACTGTGTTCTCTCCTTATCACTCAAACACGAGGTCACCACACTGTTGTCAATAGTGTCAATGACCTGTGCCTGCACTATTGTATCCACCAAAGGGGGTAAGCTTCTTGAAATTGCATCAGCAACAACATTCGCCTTGCCCAGAATATACTTGATGGTTGGCATAATCGACTTGAAGTATCCCTGCTTCAACCATCTAGTCTGCGTTCTGGACAAATTGGCCTAGCTCATGAATGTTGTTGCTGGTGACTGATCTGTCATTACCGTCACTGCAGCTACACTCCCTTCCAGATAATGTCTCCATTTGCACAAACAATAAGCCATCGCACACATTTCCTTGTCGTACGGGTAGTACTTGACTTCACTTGGACACAGTCGTCTCGACAAAAAAGCTACTGGCTGAAGACCCTTGCCATTGATGCGGGAGCTTAGAAGCTCCCTTGGGTGCACAGTCGGATAAAACGGGGAGTCAACCGGACCCCCGGGGCATGACATTAAAAGGCTTTGATTATACATCAGTTAAATTGTCCGTTTGATTGTCCTTTGCACCCGAGTGTTCCACAACTCAACCCTTAGGTTGCTATCAATTAAATGTTCCCATTTGCTACATCTACAAAGCAACCGTATCAATTCTCCCCCCCCCACCAAGTGTGGCCGTCCTCGGCCATGAGACCAACGACCCAGAAAACCAGCAAGAAAGAAGATACGGCGTACCAAACAGAAATCCACAATAAGTCAGACTAGCCGTGTCCCATACCACAATCCAACTCACAATGAACCCCTGCTATCCATATGTCCACGCAGTCCATCACTTCTGTCGGCGACTCGGTCTGGTCTTCTTGATTGCCTCTTGTCATTGTAGCCTAAGGAGGTAATCTGCAACGAGGTCCGAACAATGCGTGAGGTTGGCCTCTGGCTCGCAGGTTGCTTCATGAAGCTCATAGCCTTTCCAGGCTACCAAGTACTGTCTTCTGGAAGCACTGCCACGATGTCTGATGATCGCCTCAACCTCAAACTCTTGCTCGCCTTCTACCTCTAGTGACTCCGGAGGCAAACTGACGGTGTGCTGAAATGTCTCACTGCGCTCATACTTCTTCAGCTTCTCGACGTGGAAGGTCGGATGAATGCGCCAGTTGGATGGTAGCTGGAGAGTGTATGCAACTGGGGAAACTGCCTTCACCACCTAAAAAGGTCCAATGTAACGACGCCTGATCTTCACTGGAATATGCTTGAAAGCTGTGGAGGGCAAAAATGTTGTTCTCACCACAACTTCATCTCTAGGCTGAAACTGTACATCACGACGACGCTTGTTGGCAGTTGTAACCATCCTCTCCTGTGCCCTCTCATAATGCTTCACAGCACTGGACACCACCTTCTGCATCCGACTGAACATAGCATCCACTGACTCTACCCTCGTGTCAACTGTCTTCTTGGCCATAAGTCCCACTGGAGCCTGTACATGCTACCCATACATCAAATAAAACGGGTTGTATCCGGTCGCTACGTTGATAGCATTCCTCACTGCAAATTCTGCCAAAGGAAGGTATGTGCTCCACTCCTCTGGATGCTCTTCAACGTACGGCCTCAAGAAATTCTCCAGCATGCGTATGGAGACCTCGGACTGACCATCTGTCTCCGGATGGTATGCGGTGGACATGCGCAATTTGGTGCCAAGAAGTCTGAATAGCTCCTGCCAGAACTTACTCAAAAATCTGGGGTCCCTATCACTGATGATAGCATGAGGTAGACCAGAAATCTTGAAGACATTATCGAAAAACAGCCTCGCGTACCCCACTGCATTCAACTCTTTCCGGCAAGGAACAAAGATGACAAACTTGGTGAGTCGATCCACAAATACTGCAACAGCTGTATGTCCATGTGATTCAGGTAAATCCGTCACAAGATCAGTGGTAATCTGTTCCCACTTAGCTGTTGGAACTGGAATCGCCTGCCGAAGTCCTTTTGGTGCTTGATTCTCTGACTTGAACATCTGGCACTTTGGGCAGGTTCTGATGTAGTCCCTCACTGACTGACAAACCCCCTTCCACCAATAAACTCGCTGCAACATCTCCACAATCCTCTCAACACCCAAGTGTCCAGCTGTTGGTACATCATGGTGCTCCTCAAGAATATGCTGCGGCTGACTGGTGGGAATCACAATCCTGCGCTCGTTCCCTGCTGCCTGGTAGTATAAATTCCCTCTCTGATCTACTGAGTAACCCCTCACAACCTGTCCCATGTTGAGCTTCACTAACACATCACGAGTACCTACATCTTTGTTCAGTGAATGCAACCATGCCTCTCGTTCTGAATCTTCAATACAAGGTACTGCTGCAGACTGAACTCTGGCAATTGAATCAGGATGAGTCTGAACTGTGAAACTGCGGGAGAGTGC